GCCCCCCCCCCCCCCCCCCCCTGGGCCCTACGCTCATGCACCCTTACTATTGTCATATACTCATATTGCACATCTATAGCAGGGACATTTCTGCAGGGGTGGATCCAGCCATGTTTTTTAGGGGGTCCTGGGAGAGAATTCAATTAATTGGGTTGCTAACGACTCGAGGGCAGAAGGCGCTTTGAACCCCAGAAATGCCATTTCCTGTGATTTGGGCATTGATTTGGGCATTCAGGTTGACATAAAAAAGTTTTTTCATATTTGAGTGTTTTTGATTGGTATTTAAATGTGTTTTAATTTCTCTTTTCAATATTGAAGATTTATAATGAGAGGTTTACAGCAATTATAGCAATAGCCATTTCTATGCTTTAACTCGTAGTGCCTGGATTGATTTTTCCACCCGATGCCCCCCACAAATAATGTACTGGCTATATGCCGCTGATAGCCATGCCATATTATATACACAATACACCTTTCACAATATAGTACCTGTAAGTATACACTGATACATACACATATTTCAATTATAAACTGCAAGAGTATCAAGTAAATTAGATATGTTTATTAAATCATAAGTGTTTCAGAAATAAGGGCTTACCATTCTTTCGCTTGCAAGTAATATTTTCTCTTCCATTAACATGCCTTGGACGTTAAATGTGCGACATTTCGCTGCTTCAATGTCAAGTTGTTCAGACTTGTGTTGGGTCAAAAAAGGCTGTCTTAAATTCTTGTATAATTCATTCTGACCAACACACTTGTCATGTGGACAAGCCAACAGAGTATCTAAGGAATTCTGTGTAAAAAAACCCAAAGTATTCCGTGAATAACTAATAAGCTGTTGACTTAAAAAATATAAAACTCGAAATTGTCATTAAATAATCATTCAACATTTGCAACAAAATATACAAAATATAACTACAGAGGTATTAAATAAAAGATTTACTTACTATGAATGATGAGGTCAGATTCTCAGATGAAATTTGATCTTTCAACGTTTTTTACAATTTTTTTTGTGGCATAGATATTTGAAATTGAAGAATCAATATTGAGAATATTTGAGTTTAAAAATATGCGTAAAAGACATGCGCAGTAAACATGTTGCAAGTTTTGTTAGGCCTTCCCTCGCGAGTCAGTTTGGATTTGTTCGGAAACGCGCAGCCTGCAAATTCTGTGTAGCCTGTAACTCGCCCACAGGTGGAAGGCCGAGGAACTAGGCTAAACTTTCCGGGCAGAGTGCCCCAGCGAGTAATAACGTATTGTTAGATCTTGAATGACCTATAAGCTGAATGTAAACTCGCAAAGAACGCATAAAATATTGGCAGGGTGCATATATTATAAATATTGATTTGAAGTTAAATTAATAATAATATAATAATAATAATTTAATATTTACTTTAAGTTAATAATAATTTAATATTTACTTTAAATTTATGCAATGTTCTTTTGTGAAAATCCAAGATCTGATTGGTTATGTTAGTGAATATATGGTAATGTGACCTAAAGCAACCTTTAAAGCAACTTATGCATGTATGTAGATTATTTGTTATGATATGGATGAAATTCAAATTATTGCTTACCTCTGCAAATTCTATTCCCAGGCCAGTATTATAGGTGCACAGAAAGTGAGTATCTAGCCAGAGCATAACTATATATAGTACATATATGATAACTTGAAACAGTAATATATTCTCACTACTTGCTTTGCTTTCCCCACACAATACCTTTGACTGAGGGAATTCAGATTGGGGATAAATAATATTCAGCCAAAGGTAGAGTGCAGCGAAGCTAGGTCCGGAAGTGTCACAGTCGAGGGGAGGTGGGTGGTTCCCAAAAGATTTCACAAGACAAAAGGCTCAAAAAACATATACCGTTTTTCGCGTCACACAAATGAAAACAATACGTAAACAGAGTTAAAGCAAACATAATCGCTCCACCAAGAGTAATAGAAGAAAAACAATTATACAGTGTTTCAATAGAATAAAACAAATTGTACAGTCAAATGCAAATCCAACATAACACTGTATGGTAATCCATTGAATACAATGGACAAGCAATAATTGCTGCAAACAATTTAGCCACCCGCAAAAACAAAAAAAACTTGCTACTTATGGGACATGTACGGACAACTCAGTGAAACAGCTAGGACAATACAAGCAGCATTAAAATAGAATTAGAAGTGATCTCGTTTGTAAATAAGACATGTGTGCATCGCGTAACATTAACTCAAAGCAGTGGATAACAAACAAATCACTTGATTATCGTGAATTTTAACTTGAAATGGCCATACTGGCACTCGCCCGGATGCACACTGCAGACAATGACATTGCACGCCACACAAATATAGGGCAAAAGATATTTACCTCACCAAAAATAATAAGTGCCAAACTAAAGAATTTTGTTTTACAAAAGCGAAAAATGCAACTTGCTTAACCAAAGGTCGCAAGAGATTAAATGTAGTAGCTTCACCAAAAGCAAATAGCTCAAACATATGCGCACGACAAAAACAAAGGACGAAAGTTCATAGGCTTCACCAAAAACCAAATGGCTAAAATTAATGTAGGTGCTTCACCAAAAGCAAACAAAGTAAAACAGTTGCTTCACCAAAAGCAACAAATTAAGAACATGTGCTTCACCAAAAGCAACAAGTCAAATTAGGGTATTCACTTCACCAAAAGCAACAAAGTAAGGTCAGGCACTTCACCAAAAGCAACAAGTCAAATTAGGGTATTCACTTCACCAAAAGCAACAAATTAAGGACATGTGCTTCACCAAAAGCAACAACTCAAATTAAGGTTAAGGTATTCGCTTCACCAAAAGCAACAAATTAAGGTGAATTGCTTCACCAAAAGCAAAAAATCCCACCACATTGTACATACCAAAAGCATGCAATATATACGGTAGCACAATGTTGCTTCACCGAAAGCAATATAGTTAAAATCCAAAGTCAAACTCTGGGAATTATATGCTTCCAGCACATGCCTTTGACATGTGTAGGGTTTTGATTAGTGTACCCACCTCGCCAGACCACACATTAGGAAAACGCAATTAACAACCGAGTTGACAAATAATGAGGCGGAATCGGAAAAAGATTACCAGCCAAAAAACCACCGGAACGAGGGTTAAAAAACTAAAAAAGTGGCCGTGATGTAAAGCATCATTGCAAAAACAAAGCACAAGTAAATACAACCCACGCCAGTTAAAATATTCGGGAAAGTTGAAAACCTTAAAAGATATATACCCCGGCAGTAAATATAGAGATTAGAGGCAAACAAAACATGCATGCATGAACGAACAATCCTAATGACCATGAAAAAACGACCATATGCATACAAGAAAGACCCCAACCGAATGTAACAGTGAGAAAATAAAGCAAAATAACTACAAAAACCACGAGATAGAGGTCAGACAGAACATGCACAGCCAAGAGGAAAATAGAACACAAGTCGGCAAAAAGAAAACCAAGCATGCACATTGTAGGCCTAAGTACACTTGGTCTTTGGAGGATTGTGAGCAAAAGCAGTTACTAACGCACTACGGTGTGGCATCCAAAACAACTATGAACACATGACAATAAACAACACACATACTATGGACCCAAAAGCTTAATCTAATACCTTTAAACGCAAATATCCATGTGTAGGGTTTTGATTATTTTTTTATTTATTTTTTAAAATTTTATTTATTAACTTTACAATCAATAACATATATTAACAAATGGTTGAAGGAAAAGGACAACAGATCTTAAATAAGATACAATTAAGTCCCACCAAAACTATTTCTACTAACATGCATAACATTTACATGTTTATTAATCTAACTTAACACTTTATCTGGCTAGAACAGTCTTTTTGTCTTAACTGAGTATAAATGATTTTTTAAAAATTTTTTAGAGTTTTTATACTAATTTTTACAGTTTACATGTTTACGAACAACAAGTATTGTCAAAGGAGCGACACTTTGTACACAAAGATTTCCAAGTTCTTGGTCGATCGACATCAAAATCTAAGCTCAATTTCTCATAGTAGTAGTGGTATAGTTTACTTTTGAGCGAAGAGAAGGTTAGCGATGATTTAATAGTTGATGGTAGGTTGTTCCACATTAGAGCCACTCTGTTGAAATAGAAGTTTCTGAAGAAGGATGTTCTGCATAAATTAGGTCAGAGAGTGTTGGCTGAGCTAAAGCGAGTCTGGTGATGAGGTGGTTGAACAACATAGTCCTCGAGCTTTAAGTCAAAATATCCTACTTTGCATTTAAAGAAAAACATTATGTCCTTTATTTCAAACCAGTACGATATTGGGATAAGGTTTAGTCTTTTCAGGCGTTCCACGTATGTTAACCTGTAGTCTTGCAGAATAAATTTAGTCGCGCGTCGTTGTACTCCCTCAATACGCAGTAGGTCTTTCGACGTTTGTGGTGCCCAGAGTTCACTACCATAACATAACTGAGCTCGAACAAGTGATATATATAATGTGTGTCGGGAATTTACATCTGTTAGATGGACACAATTGCGATGTAGAAAACCAGGCATACGGTTGGCCTTTGCCACAACATTTCGGATGTGCTGTGACCACTTTAAGTCGCTGCTTACTTGGATACCGAGATCTCGTTGAGTGGATTTGAATGGGATAAGTTTGTTGTTAAGATGGTACTCTGGTTGTTGGATGGTCTCTTTCGTGAAAATCTGATTATTGAGCATTTCTTATAATTAAATTTTAAGTCCCAAGTAGACGACCAATTACAGAGCGAGTTAATGTCAGACTGCAGAAGGTTGCTGTCGTGTGAATTGTGAATAGATCAAAAACATTTGCTGTCATCCGCAAACATGGGAACCAAACTGTAATTAACCTACTCGGAAAGACCGTTTGCATAAATTAGGAAAAGCAAAGGCCCGATAATACTGCCTTGTGGTACTCCAGATGTTACGTCCAGATACGTAGAAGAAAATCCGTCAATTACCACACGCTGTTTTCGCTCCTTCAAGTAGTCAGAAAACCAGTTCAAGAGTGTACCCGAGATCCCAAATTGGTGAATCTTGAATAATAGCTTGTCATGGGGAACAGAAAAAGTCGAGGTAGATCATGTCCGTTTCTTTTCCAGAGTCAAGTGCTTTACCGACATTGTGGATCACACCAAGGAGTTGAGTAATGCAGGACCGACCTGTACGGAAACCGTGTTGTTGATCATGTAATAGAGGTTTAACAAAAGCAGAAACTCGGACATGGATTGTGTGTTAAAGGACTTTGGAAATCAGTGATAATAAGGAGATTGGTCGATAATTACTAATTACATAGGGGTCGCCACTTTTAGGGACAGGAACAACATTTGCTTGTTTCCACTCTGTTGGTACTTTACCGAGAGATAATGACATGTTGAATAATGCTGTTAGAGAGGGAGCAAGCACACCTGAACACTCTTTCAAATGTCTGGCTGAAATCCCATCTGTACCTGTAGCCTTTGCTGTTGATAGGTTGGATAGCAACGCATTAACTTCTTCGACTGTCACAGTAATCGTATCAAGTTGGTCCTGTACTGATACGGAGGTAGTACACAGAGGAGTGGGGGGTTTAGGAAGAAATACGGAAGCAAAGTACTGGTTAAAAGCGCCAGCTTTCGCTGACGAAGAATTGTATTTTTCGCCAGCCATGTTCATTGTGTCTGGGAGAGGTGGTTTTAAAGAATTTCCAAAACTCTTTAGTATTGGACTTTACCGATTCTGCTAGGTTTTGCATGTACTCTCGTTTCTTCAATTTAATCATGCGTTTAATGTCCCTACGTTTGTCACAAAATTTTTCCCAAAGAAGTGACGAGTTAGATTTTTTTGCTCGTTTTCTCAACGTGTATTTTCTATTCAGGACGTGAATAATGTCGCTTGTGATGTATGGAGGGGTAGATGACCGTCGTACTTGTTGCTTAGGGATGTGGGTATCAACTGCAGCGAGAAAAGTGTCTTTCCATTTCGACCACACAGTATCAATGTTATTCTCACCCTCAACAATATCAGTTAAGGGTAAAAATGATAGGGTTTCTCGGAGAGATTTGAAGTCTCCCTTACTGTAGTTGTACGAGAGTCTGTTCGCTGTCAGCTTTAACTTTCTGTTGATGTTGATGTCGAAAGTAATAGCTTTGTGATCGGATGGTAATGAAACAGCTTCGTCATCAGTAATGTCTATGTTATCGATTAGATTCTCATCAGTACTCAGAATTAAGTCGATGGTGTTTTGTCCTCTGGTTGGTGAATTTACTAGTTGGAAAAGCCCACCCTGAAGTAAAATGTCAGTAAATGACGTTTCGAGCGATAAGTCAGAAAACCCGGACCCGTCCAACCACTGGATAGATGGATAATTAAAATCTCCGAGGACAATAATAATAATAATAATAATATTTAATATTTATATTGCGCAAATTAACATGTTATAGTATATGATCAAATGCGCATAATAATAATATCAATAATATCATTAAATTTTGATTCCTTGGCAAAATGCACAAATGTGTTCAAATGATGTACAAATTCTAAGGCAGCATTCGGAGGTCGATAACATACTGCAACAAGCAGGAGTTTTGAGGATGATTTGATCAGGACACTTGTTAGTTCTAGGGAGCCAGAAGTTATATTGGAATGGTTCAGTTGTAATTGAATCTTTCACAGCTAATAATACACCACCGGCATGCTTACCGTTTTCTCTATCTCTTCGAATAATATGGTATCCCCTCGGTATAATTTCAAGATTTGAAATTGAGTCATTCAACCAGGTATCAGTCAATGCAATTATATCAAATTGGTTTGTTAAAACAATGTCTGGAAATGAAGACAGTTTGCATTCTCGACAATTGGTCAAGTTGTCTAACTGGACAGAATTGAGACTTCGTACGTTTTGCAAAACGACAGAAAGATTTTTCTCTTTGCTTGAAATTGATGGACCTGGATTCTTTTCTACATTAAACGAGGCATCAGAGTTCGCGTAGTATCGAAATCTCGAAGCTAGAAATTTCATTTGCCACCTGGTTTTGAATGGACTAACGTACGTTGTACTTGTATTGGTAAATAG